ATGATAACGATCGACTATGTATATATCGAAGAATTTGTTCTCTATATCATATTGTTAACGAATGTATGTGCATTTTCTCTCAATTTTCATCTCCATTTCATCCCCATTTTCTTTTTCAAACATCTCAACCCTCCCACTTGACTAAAAAGTCGGATTGGCATTCGTAAGCAACTGCGCAAAGTAAGCCTGGAACCAAGTACCCGCCTCTGGAGCCGGTTGAAGCGCATCTGCGAGGCCACAGTGGAAATCGTAGCGCGCGGCGCTGGTGTTTGATGTTCCCTGATTGGGGGGTTAGTATATGCATATTGAAAAGAAAATGAGAAGAGAAGAACAAAGAGATGGGGATGAGATGAGAAAGAGGAAAAACTAACATCGCCTTCTCCACCGGGTTTGATCCAAACAAATGCATCTTCCAATGCATCACCGGTGTTTGTGGTTGGGCGAACACCAAATCCGGTGCCAATGAGATTACACCAGTCACCCCAGGCGAGTTGGGCGGTTGGTTGAACACCATTGCGACCTATTTCGCTGTTAGCATTATGTTAGATATTTTGAAAAAATGTTGCTTACTAGTATCAGTAATAAAGTGAGCCGGGAAACCCTGAGCAGTCAAAAGCGGAGCGAGCGCATTAATGTACATTTTCTCGTTACAGTTTGCGTCTCCAGAGGTGTAGGATGGACAACTGGTACTGGTCCAGGCATTATAGTTTGCAACATTTGTTGCGAGACCTCTGACTGCCGCTGGGCTTCCAGCTGCTTTGTAGACTTTGCCGAAGAGTTGTGCAGCAGGTCCGATGTTTGCAGGCCATCCTAACCAGCCGGCATGTCCAGCATCCAAGTACATGGCGACGTTTGGAAGATTCAATTGCGCGATGGCGTATTCGGTACATTCTAGATAGGCTGCTTGCGCGTTGGAACATTTTGCGACGGATAAGTTGGTGACGAGGTTGGCCAACGAATCGGGTTCTTTTGGATGGTTAGTCACAAATCGATGCGAGTCTGAGATGAAGAATTCACTTACCAACGACGAGAATCACGCTAACATCAGAGTAAGTCTTCAAAATAGCGACGATGGAATCGATATAAGCTTTGTAGTTTGCGATACCACCATTTGCAATGCTGTATTCTCCGTTGGAAGCAGCAGCAGCACAGTCTCTGTCTGGCAAATCATAGACTACGAAAGTGCCTGCAATAGGTGGGCTTGCTCCTGCTTTGTTCAAGGCCCGGATATTGGCAAGGTAGGTTCCCATCAATGGAACTTTAGCTGCGGTGTCACTGAGTTTATTAGCTATCATATTCATCATCTAATTAAAGACAATGACTTACAGCCAATAAAAGGTGGGAACCTTTGCTACTGCAGCAGCTTTAGTAGCCATGGCTCCAGTGAGGGAAGGAATCGCAGTTGCAGAGATTTCTGAAGCATAGTACGGATTCGCATAGAGTGCTTTTCCTACGAAAGGATTACCAGCAACCGCAGCTGTTGTTGTTGCACTACTACCACTTGTGGTCGTAGTAGCTTTTGTGGTAGATGTGATGATTGTGGTGGGAGTCGTTGCGGTGGGAGCTGAAGTTGCTGTTGTTGTAGCCGCAGCGCCTGGTAAACATTGGGAATAGTATTGATTATTAACAACACAGGTATATCCCGAAATACAAGTCGTTGCGCCAGTCCAACCTTGACCACCACCTGAAAGATGTGTTAATACCGTATTACTAACCAATGAAGCGTGATAACTTACATTGCGCGTAAGCTGCACCCTGGGCATACACAGTAGGTGCTACAGCAGCAGCAGCAGCAGCAGCGAGGAGAACATTCTTGAAACCCATTTTGACAGGACAATTGAAGAAGTAAAGATTGTGTGTGTGGTTGGATATTCACATTTTGAAGAAAGGAACAGTCTTTTATATCGATCAAACCGAGATATGACTAACCATATTGGCCAAATGAATCTTGTTGAACTAACATGCACTCACATTTGATCATCTATATGCGAGCTGCACCCCAATATCAAAACGGAAGTCCGGCGCCGGCTTGCCAGTAGGATTTGTATAGCCTGAGTAGACCTCAAAAAATATCATGGATTGATCATGAAGAACATTATAATACCAAATCCTTGGCAGGACCCCGCGAAATATGATTGGATTGAATATATGAAACGAGAGGGATTTTACTATAACGACCAATTAAAGTTATATCCAGTATCCAATCGAGACAATCGACGGAAAATCACCCAAACCAAATTTAGATTAAAGAAACCACATACCTTAACAGGTACCTGAGCGACTAAGGAGCAACGGCCCGTTGGAGGATTGTATAGTATCATGTGCTATATGAACTGCCACTTGCTATATGATCTGTATTATACCTTCTGTCATCTTGACAAAAATGGTATTTTGTGGGGTTTGAATTATCCCACTGCAAGGACAGATACTAAGAACGTGATTTCCATGATCAGGTACCAAATAAAGCCGGAAGAATGACAACAATTCCGGGACGTGAAGACAATAGCCGATGACAGCCAACACTACCTCTTGTCCAGAGCTCTCGCGAAAAAAGGAAGTAGAATCTAAGGTCTAGATGTGGTAGTCGTATATTGACTTCCAAGCTTGCAAGATATGGTGTAGAAATAAACTTAAGCCACTTAGAGTTACATAGATACCTCCTAGGTAATACTGTCAAGAATCCCAAAACTTAGGCTGACATGAAAATGCGGAGGGAATTTGGGGAAGAGACGAAGATTGTGGAGAAGGGCGTTGGCGAATTTAGCCTATTTTCTTGAAGCTACGGGTACCCGCAGCTAACCTTACCATTCCGATCACATGCTCTCAGTTTGTTAATAGCATGTCTCTCCTTGTCGCCGGTACACTAAACAATGCAATGTCATACGCGACATGCTGAAAAACCACTGACGGAGATTAATATCTTGGCTTGAGCTGACTAGCCGTTCTTCCCTTTATTCTCGGAACAGGAATTCCGTGTTTCGGTCCGGCGGCATGACACTTTAAGTGTCGATTTGTTGAATGAAATAGAACTTCGGTTTGTTGTTTATTAGATTGATTAGCGAAGATGTCTAAAATGTGAACAGGAGACGAGACGAGTAGACTTGAGATTCTGTGATCTTATCAGTCTACTATATGTTCTGCATTCTACCAATAAGACTATCTCAGTTAAGATGAAAGAATGAAGCGACGAGATTACCAGAGGAAATATGGAAGATAGATGATATCTGGATGGAAATAAACTTGATGGAAATTGGGTACTTGAAGCTTGAATAATATCCAACGGCTCGCTTATTAACTTCGTAAAGAAATTATGGAGGTTTCTACTCTAAATTCAACGCCATAAATATCTATGTTATGTGATACGAGCCATCAATATAGCTGGTTCTCAGCTAGTCTCCTGAAACTCGAGTACCTGTCTATTCCCCAGTCACAAACAAGAACATACCACTCATCTAAAACCCATCAACCTTAATTCCCCTCTCTTTCTCCCCCCTCAATCTCTCCTGGTTATGTGTTACCCACCAAGCATGCGTCGCATCCTTGCCAATAAATTTTCCCTCCTCGTCCATCTCATCCCACGGCTTTGGGGCTAGAATATAATGAATGTTTTTGACTTTATCATCTCTCCAAATTTGAGGATGAACGCCCTCCCATTTCAACGTTTTGAGGGCGTTATAAATATAAGGAAGTGGCACCCATCGATTTTTGAAGAGATCAGAGAGAAGAGATTGATCTGCAAAATCCATATTGATTGCGGCGTCTGAAGAAAGATGATCAAGAATGGCGTTGTATATGCCGGAAGAAGGGTTGACGACTTGAAGACCACCATTCATAAAACCGAGAGGAGAGGTATTGGGGGGTGGTCCAGTGGTTTGTGCGACGTCTGGTGTGTTGTGTTGGGAGGTGAAAGCGCAGTTTTCAGGAACCCTGGAGGAAGTTAGTATGTCTCTAGTTGTGCCTTTAGAGAAAGCGAATAGATTTGAGGGTGAACATACCAATCGGCAGGATAATGTTTCTTCTTTAGCGGATTGCAAACACATGCATGGCCCGCAGCAAAAACTCTCTGTCCCTTGCCCGCCACCTCCGGCGCATCGAGTTCTAATTCCATCAACTCGTCCATATTTTGTAGGACCAACATATCGCTGTCGAGTTGTACAACGCGCTCATATTCGATTAAACTAAAAGGGGCGAGTTTAGACCAGCAATCGTAGAAGCGAGGGTCGTTGGAATAATCTTTTCCGCCATTTTTGGGGAGGAGATATTCAATGCGCTGTTTGGGAATACCACGGGCTTCGAGAGCGGCGTGGCCTTCAGGAGGGAAGGCATCGGTGTAGAGGGCTACGAGGGGATATTTGGAGTTGTGTTTTTTGAGGGAGTAGTCGAGGGTTAAAAGCCCGGAGAGGTAGGCGGTGTTGGTTATGAGGGTTGTCCAGACTGTGGAGGAGGTATTGTCAGTTCAGTCATTTTTTTTTTGATATGACACGCAGATGTGCCGAATTTTGGACTGAACAGATGAACAGAAGAACATACCCTTCTTGGACTCGGTCACTCGTTCGGAGGATGTCATTTTCCTGAAAGGTTATTCAACTTTGAGGAGTGTTGAGTGTGAGAGAGATTGATTATATAGTATTGGAGGGGTGTATATGAGTTAATCCAAAGAATAAGCACAGCTTGGGACTCAATGATAGATAACAACAAACCACTTTTCGTCATGAAAGGAAGTGCACACGAAGGGAGTAACCTTTAGTAATGATTGAAAAGCATTTATACAGGAGAAAGAAATGGAAGGAGAAAGGTGTGCTTGGACTACTGGTTCAGAAATGATCAAGAGGGGACCGATTCACAGCATCAGCGTCTTTAATATACGAAACACTTTCTTACGGGACTCGTCCCAATTGCCAAGATGTGAAGGGGTCAATTGTTGCTTCAAACTTCAATAAATTGAAGTATTGAAGTATTCTGATAGAATAATTTACCCACAAATACATGAAGTTTGGAAAGTTCCATCTCCCAGCCTTATATGGCCGCTTTACTTTGTACTATGCTCAGCTATCCTCAGCTAAGGTTATCGCAGTCTTTTCCGTGCATCGCTTCGTTCCTTTTCTGATCAAGCTTCTCATCATTGCTTATCCATCCAATCAATACCATGTATTGTATACACATCCCTAATTCCCCCCCATCGATAAGACAGACCGCCGTCGAAGGAAGAAGAAGAAGAAAAAAAAGAAAGAAAAGGTCAAGCTCACAGGAACAAAGTGGCTCCGATTTCGCCAAATGAACCCTCAATGTTCAGAACATTCCTAGTCACAGCTCCACCCAGTTTGATAGTTCAACCGTTCAACTCGTCATCCATCCGATCATATTGGATTTGGATATGATCTATTAATAAGCTAGGTATTGTAGGTCGTAGTATGCTGCAAACAAAGTATAAAATCTAAAGTAACGGCGATCCAAGACCCTTGCTGTGCGACATAACAAATCGAGAATATCCTGCCTTCCCATCACCAGCTACGGTTTGATAACCAACCAAGCAAACGAGCATCTAGGTTGTGTCCCTCGATCTTATCGTTGTGGACTTCCTTGTGAATTGTGATTTTCAGACGAGGGCCAGGCAAGACAAGTCGAGACTCGATGTTGGCAACAGACTCGCGCACTTGTGATCAGTGAGCCTGTAGAGGCAATCGAAATAGCTACGAGTGAGTCTGCCACCATGTCGCGGTTGCAAATGGGAAAGAATACTACCGACGTTAGGGAGAAAGTGGCAGAGAAGAAGAGAGAGGCAAAGAATTATAGAGGATTTGTGGCGGGTGTGTTTTCGGGAGTATCGAAACTTACTGGTATGACAATTTGAGGTTTTTTTCCTTGCGAATTTGGACATTTAATATTTTGTTGGACAGAAAATACTGGGTGATTTGTGAATGCGAATTGATTTGTCAATTGAGATTGCTGTCTATCTTTTTGATAAGAAAATTTAAATGCTAACTATATACCTTCAACAGTTGGACATCCATTCGATACTATAAAAGTCCGTCTTCAAACCTCCACATCATCCCAATTCAACGGGCCACTCCAATGTCTTCTCCTCACTATTCGCAACGAAGGCTTCACCGGTCTCTACAAGGGTGCCACTCCCCCTTTAGTTGGCTGGATGTTCATGGACAGCATAATGCTTGGTTCCCTTACCTTCTACCGCAAACTCCTCCACCAAACCCTCTTTTCCCCCTCCCGCATGGCCGCCACCCCATCTAGTTTTGCACGTCCCGATAGCTCTCTCACACCGTCTCAAGTCCACAAACTCCCCACCATAGGCCACGCTCTCGCCGGTGTCATGGCAGGCGCAACCGTAAGTTTCATTGCGGCCCCCGTCGAACATCTAAAAGCACGTCTACAAATCCAATACTCGAGTAAGAAATCCGAACGTCTATATAGCGGTCCCATCGACTGCGCACGTAAGATTTACCGATATCATGGTATCCCAGGTCTTTACCATGGTCTCTCCGCTACTCTTTTCTTCCGTTCCTTTTTCTTCTTCTGGTGGGGTTCGTACGATGTTTTCACACGTCTTTTGACTGAAAAAACTCAATTGAGTACTCCCGCCGTTAATTTCTGGGCCGGCGGTCTTTCGGCACAGGCTTTCTGGTTGACGAGTTACCCGAGTGATGTCGTTAAACAACGGATTATGACGGATCCACTAGCTGGTGGATTGGGAGATGGGGTGCGTAGATTTCCGAATTGGAAAAGTGCGGCGAGGGAGGTGTATAGGGAGAGTGGATGGAAAGGGTATTGGAGAGGTTTCTTACCCTGTTTTTTGAGAGCTTTCCCCGCGAATGCGGTTGCGCTAGTGGCGTTTGAGGGCATTATGAGGGCTTTGCCTTGATGTGTATTTGCACACGCAGCTCCATATATAGTCCAGTGACAAGGATTCGAGAGATTCGTAGGAAAGAGTGTAAGATATTGTATCGCGAGATGATGAGAAGCATGCATGCATGGCGTTAGGAACTGCATACCACTTTTTGTGGGGGATTGACGAACACCATCTCCAATCAGCTAGAGGAACAGGAGGGAAGTTTACTCATCCCTATAATGATTTACATGAGAAAGGTGTTGTATATGAGATGGATAAATGGATGATGAGATATACTGGTAGAACCCAGTATACCAGCATACAAGCATATGTAGATAGATAGATCAGATGGATATACATCTCTATCTCTATTTATCGCTAGACAAACACGAAAAAAGTGTCACTGCCTTTGCAATTGAGCCATTACGCAACTAGAGGTTTAGAAGATAGTAAAAGAAGTAGACAGAACTCAACTCAAAATCAAAATCAAAATAACAAGGAATTTGAATCCCACTATGTATATCCTCCATCTCCCCACATACAAGTCAAGTCTATAAGAAAGAAGAGACGGGAAGATGATAGCGAATGAAAATCGAAAAACAATATAGGTAAATATTACAAACTATATCATATATCGGGTATTTCATTCAATTAGACACACATAGACGCATCGCATAGTCAGTCAGCGAAGCATGAGCTATCGAAAGGATTAATCAATTATGAATTTACTAAGACTGCTACATTACATCGGGTATGATTTGGATGGATGGATGGTTACGTAGTTCATTTCTCTATTAATCAATCACTCGATTCGTGTCATATCTCAATCTTCCACATTCGCTTGAACTGCCGAATACTCTCACTGTGCTTTGCATACAATACCATCTCTCTGCATGTGCAGTGGTATGCATACTCCAAACAATCCCTTTCTCCCCTACTGCCTATCTCCCTCCCCCTGAATAACATCTAAAATGAAACCAACATCCACCAGAGAGAAGCGAGGCCAACCAACTAATTGCATGAAAAATTCGAAAACATATCCCATCCCCAAGTTCGTTTCTCTCATTCCAATCAATCAATGCCCATCCTTGAAAATATTAGATTAAACTCCGGTTGTTCTCTCCTTCCTCCTCTCCATGCAAGCGAAATTCCTCCATCGTCGTTCGACATTGCATAAAAGCAAGGCTCTGAGTTGTATGCATTGTATATCCTCAAGTGAAGAGAAATAAATGGATAAACATGATGCCGCCAGATGTCTAATCAACAGAGAAGTCGTATATGAACAGCGAACAGATGCAGACCGCATCTCCAATCGATCGATCGATACATTGATTGTATTATACAAGCCATCTTATATTCGAAAATTCGCCGAAAATTCTCCTATCTGCCCTCAAACCAAATAATTAAGAAAAGAAAAAGAAAAAACAAGTTGAAGAAGTGTGGGGGTATTTTGGTAAAGAGAAATTTGCTCCATGTGCGGTGTAAGATGGAACTTTTGGCTGACGTCCCTGGGACGTCTCATAAAAAGACCAGAAGCAGATGCGATGCGATATTTCCAAGGCGGACTAATACTCACCGCAGCAAATGGTCGTATTTGTATTAACGGGGGTTCTGTGCTGCTCAGATAAAGAGTGGTCATGCTTTTTCTGGAATGGGGAATCTTGAAGGCTTGGCTCCGAACAGACAGAGGTTAATTATCAAAGGATCAGCTTTTGAAGATTTCTCTGTATAATCATATCTTGTACGGAGCTCATCGTGACCTTGAGAAGATCAGTATCAGTGGCATTTGTGAAGTGGCCATAAACTTCGCGTCCAGGGCTTCGGTTTAGAGCAATGAACTTGTCCATGAAGTATTTCGAGGTTTGTTGCGAGCTTGTAGTATCTCCCTGGAAATCGGAGAAACCGAACTTGGTAATCGGGCTGTGACCAATCTTTGCTTTAAACAAGTCGATCTTGTTCAAGAAGAGGATCAATGCCGAGTGTTTGAACCAATGAGAGTTGGCAATTGACTCCCAAAGCATTAAAGCTTCTTGCATTTGGTTCTAGCAAGGTATTAGTCACCAATGGGATATAATGAGTTGCGGCTGAGGGAGACTTACTCCATCCTTGTCTTCAGCTAGACACTGATCATAACCACTGATAGCAACTAAGAATAGCAATGCATTGACATTCTCGAAGCAATGGATCCATTTCTTGCGTTCCGATCTTTGTCCTCCAACATCGAACATTCTGTATTGCAATGAGCCGAGATCAAAGTGTGTTTCGGTGATACCAGTGGTTCTTAGTCTGGCGCGAAGAACATCTTGATCGGTTGGAACGAATTCCTTGCTGAAGAGACGATCTAAATCTTCGAAGAAACTAAGACGCACGATATTAGAAGTGTAAATTTCGCAGAGCTGAAAGAGAGACTTACTAGCCCAAATTATCATGCAGAGCAAACTCATTTCCTCTCTCCACAGTCTTCTGGATACCCGAATCAGCCCACATATCTTTGAACGCTTTAAGGTATTCGAGAGGAATCGGTTCGCATGGTCTAAGGTCCTTTTCTTCTGTGATTATTGGAAGGTATTGCTGTGAATGAAGTAATTAGTCAATGGCCTGGGGGATTGATCGCAAGATTGAAAGCGCAAATGAGTGTAAACCTACCTTGGTGCTTTCATGTTCGAAAGGAGTATTAAAATCATTCATTGCCTCCACTGTCATTCTCAAGCCATCCAGAATGTTGTGAAAGATGATAATGCGCCATTCTTCTTTTTCAGTCTTTGAGAAACCTTTATCGGTATAGATCAGTCTCATCTGTTTTAGAATTGTTGACTTTCCAGATTCTCCAGCACCTGCAGAACATAATAATTAGCAAATGCCATCTTCATCGTGAGATCGTGAAGCTCGAAATAGGATGATTGATCGATCGTCGGTCGTTCTGACGAATTGTGGAGGACGCGACAACTTACCCAATAATAACAACTTGACTTGTCGCTGCATAACCTTCTCATCTCTGTGGATAAGAGCGTCTATCTCTTTGGACCTTTTGGCCTCGACATCCTCCCTGCTGCCGAAACACATCATGAAGGGCCAAAATTAATACGTACACAGTAACAAAGAGAAAAAAAATTCTCAGTTGCTGTCGGGATAATTTTGGTAACTGGAGGGCGCTTCGATGATCAGGGTAGAAGAGATTTTGAGTTTCAGTAGAATGGGATGGGATGAGATAGGATCGGGATGGGCTGGGCAAGCTATTGGTAACGTTGCGGAGTTAATCAATTCGCCGCTGATACCAGGCAAAAGTAAGTTAATAAGTTTGGTCCCGGTTAGTTATCCTGCAGAACTAGTGTCAAATGTCAAGCGTCAAGTGCTGAAGAGCGTTGAAGTTTCTTCTTCTTTAAAGGAACGAGCTTCTTCCAAGGAACGAGCGTTGGATTTCGGTAATGTTAATGGTTCGTTGATTTTCAACTTCTTCGGGGAAGGACGCTGTTGATAAGACCAAGGCGGGCGGCTTTGACGGATAGCGTTCAAGGATATGCGAGCAAAGTAATAGATCTAGGCTAGAACTCGCTCGGGAGATTAAGTCGATTTGAAGATTGAATAATGGGACCTGTTCATCCAGTCATAAGCAGTGTTTTCTGAAGAAAATGCAAGGGAGACGGGCAGAGTAGAAAGACTAAAAAGTGTTGATGATTTGAGATACTTACTGGGGACCAGTTTAATGAGATAGACTTTGGATTGTCGATCCTATTAAAGTTTTGTGCTTTTGTACGTACAGTAGTTAGTCGTGGGGCCAGGACTACTGCTACTACTTCTACTGCGCAAGAAGGTAGGTAGGATTGATGAACTTCTGCTGTGAACCTGTGATGTTGATGAACTTTGTTTTGAGGGCGAAGTTCAAAGTTCGATGTTCGATGTTCGTTTGGACTTGAAGTTGAATCTGGAGTCGAATTGATTCGTGTATTGCCTCCCTCCACACAAAAGAAAGTTATTAAGGTGTGGGTATATTTGGATACTAATATCAACGACTGAGTGAATCAGATAATGTGACGCAGAAGAAACCGTCGTTTTGATGTTTCAGTTGGATTGGATGATATCTCTGAGAGACCTATTATGAAATTGATTGACGAATGGTAAATAAATAGGTGGTGAATGGATGGAGGCGAGGAAGTGGGTAGAGGGTGATGTTGATTCAGGATTAGAAATGGAGATGGAATGGGTAGAGGCAATAATGGAAAGCGAGAAGAGGAATGATCCTCAACTTCGAAGCCCAATTCGATGAAATGGCCCCCAGGTAGAAAGGTAAGTGAGCTGGTCGGCCTCTTTAGTGAGCATGGAAAAGAAAAACTAGCAGCAACAAATCATGGGCTTACACGCATTAACGCAGGCGCACGGCAAGAGATGAGAAAGGGAAAAGGGAAAAGGAAAAAGGGAAAAGAGAAAAGGGAAGAAAAAGAAAAGAAGATTGTGAGAAGTTTCGTTCCGTCCCTAAGGTAGGTAGGTAAGTAGGTATGTACCTGGGTGACTATTTCTAAGCTCAATCTAATATATTCAAAGCGTCTATATGGATGATTATCCAGTCAACAACTTTGGTTTATTCGCGCGCGATTGTTCATTTCTATTTTAATCTTCAATACTGTTGATCATTCAATCATCTTGAGTGCATCGATGCTGCTTGAACCAGCTCTCCATGAATCTTCTATTCATGTGCATGGAAACACACTCAAGTATACCAGCATCCCAGCATCCCAGCATTTCTATCATGCTCATTACTTCGTGTATCTCTAGGGCTTAGAATCAAAAGATGTGTAATACCTACCTACCAATACACCAAACCACTAATAAGAGGGTGATATGGATGTGTGTGGCAGATGCTGACGATATGAGCAACACCGTGCTACCATTGCTATCGATTGTAACCTCAGACTGTCGGCCGTTTTAGTACGAATGTCTCAAAATCTTCACACAAGGATAACAAGGATATCTGAACTCGAAAATATAACCACATGGAAATGGTCATTCCATATGCGACAGATGCAAGAAAGTAAAGCATGTACAGGCAAGCAACGTGGAAACGTACGGTAGTAGATTAAGAAGGTTGTCAAATGCAGTCCCGAAATCTTGAAAGTTTGGTTCATGTTGAGTAAGAGGTCCACCCCCTCGCTGCGTCAACCAATAAACACAGTGTACAGTGTGAGGGATGGATGCGAATGGTTCGTTATAGAAAATGGATAGATCAAAGGACGACAGCGACAACAGACGAATGAACATCAAACGTCGAACGATGCTATACTTCTAGGATTCGTCTATCTTCACAAAAGTAGATGGGCACTGGGCAGTGTTTGGCAAGGTTTTTACATATATTGGCCCGTCATTAATAATAACCTGAAATGCTGAATGGAGATGTTGGTATATGTAGTGCAACCGTCATCTGAAGAATTCTAAGGTACTTTAAGGAAGGTGTTTCTTGCCATGTCTTCCCTCGCCTCACTCGTACATGTGGGAGGTGTGATACTCAAATATGTAATCGCAAAATGTACCTATATGCGGATCAAAACATGGTCGTTCAGGGGTTGTAAACAGGATGGCGAGAATGGGCTGAATGGCGCAGCCCGATTGATACTATTACTGCACTAAGCACAAGGCCAAGGATGGGTTATACAAGGTCTATCTGCAATACCTGACAGACGGAGTAAAAGAGCATGGTCGGAATGGTGAGAAAATACTAGTAGTACCACATTGCTATCAACCGCACGAGGTCGAAAGGGATTAGATGTTTCCAGCCTATAGCATAACGGAAGCTCCATTTATCAATCTGTCACAAACACGAATAATAAGCGTTGAAGCCCTCTTGTCGAAGTGTAACGTTGAAAAGGGGGGGGGATCATACAGAAGTCACAGACTCACAGTGAGAGAGAGTGTGCTAAGGTCTTCAGAGGTAGAATAGCTAGATTTGAACTTGGCTATTGGGTACTATATACTATACATAGTTAGAAACCTTAACAATGTACGTACCTACTCTTCCGTCCCGTCCGGTACTGAGTTAAGTTAAAGTTTGCTAATGCAGAAATGATGCAGTAGGTACGGATCGTCAATAGTCTTCCAAGATCCCCCCTTCTCACTCCTGAAACGAACCACTACCATTTATCCCTCATTATCTAGACAGAAAACGCCAAGGATATCGTGGCAATCTTTCGGTTGGGCAGTTTGATTCGTCTTTCTCCAGAGTATTTTTGTCTGACCAACGACATTTATGAACCATTCGGAAAGTCAAGGATCGACCCATATGGTCGTCATTATCACACACCTAGATGACTGAACTGACTACTAGATCAAGCCAGGTACTTCCTAAAGCCTCTTTCTTCACTTTATTTTTGGCCCCCAATGCCCCATCCTCCACTGGTGACATTTTTCAAGGATCAAGACTCATTTTGGAGGAGTCGAATACTGCTGAACCCTTTAATTTGCGGTAGTTGTGCTTGCATTAGCCAATTACAAATCAACATTCGGATCGAGCCACGAGGGAGGAAAATCTCGTGATTTGACTATTCGAGTGTCCCAAGCTAGTGCACATGGAGTGAAGTAAATCCAGCTTCAATCCGATTCTAGCCAATAACATCAGTTAGATAGAGGCTAGCTTCTTATGGAACATCACGAGCTTTGGTCCAATCACATCAAGTTTGTGGATCTCATATCGATTGAGGTACATGGTGGGGTAAAAAAATGTTTGGGAGCGGCCGCGGTCATACCAACAAGGAGGAAAAAAACTCTTCAAGATCATTAATAAGGTTATCTACACAGTAGGTATTTTGTTGTTGCTTCTTGCAAATTTCTACCATTGCCACTTGTTTTTCATTCACTTGCTAAAAGAACTATTTGTACCTGCAGTCTAAGGATTCTAATAAGAAGACAACCGAGACCCATTCATTCACTCCAAGTCTTCATCAAGCAAAGATCTCATCTTCCTCTTTCCAATATATTTCGTACTCGTCTTTTGAAGCCCCTCACTACTCCTCCGCGATACAACCTTCCTCTATTACCAAATCGATTCTCTTCCAAACTCACAGCAAAGATGTCAGAGATCACCCACCCCACCATCAAGGGTATGTCTGAATAACCTTCATTCTTTTCTTCGGTTTTTCCCTTGTATCGTTGTGTACTACGAAGGACATGGTCGCAATATTATCTCAAGTGAGACACATCCCTGGTGCAAGGCATGCCATTTTACCCGACATTCAAATGGCCACTGTCTGACTAATGCGTCGCTTCGTTGGCTTGCATTTGATGTCGCCCCAAGTACAACATCTGCGAAAGACGTGCTACATTCGGCAATATGCAAGAACGTACCCGAAGCTAATAAGACAATCACAGATGGCTGGTTCCGCGAAATCTCCGAGATGTGGCCTGGACAGGCAATGACCCTCAAGGTCAAGAACGTTCTTCACCACGAGAAGAGCAAATATCAAGATGTTTTGATCTTCGAATCGACTGACTATGGCACCGTCTTGGTCCTCGACAACGTCATTCAATGCACTGAGCGCGATGAGTTCTCATACCAGGAGATGATCACCCACTTGGCTATGAACTCTCACCCAAACCCAAAGAAGGTCTTGGTCATTGGTGGAGGAGATGGAGGAGTCTTGCGTGAGGTTGTCAAGCACGACTGTGTGGAGGAAGCCATTCTCTGCGACATCGATGAGGTGGGTTGCTGAATTCGAAAGTTGTGGCTCTTTTTCTTGTTGACATCGTGAAAACAGGCTGTCATCCGTCTTTCCAAGAAATATCTTCCTGGAATGGCTATCAGCTATCAACATCCTAAGGTCAAGACTCACATCGGGGATGGATTCAAGTTTTTGGATGATTACAAGAACGAATTCGATGTCATCATCACTGATTCCTCCGACCCAGAGGGACCTGCTGAAAGCTTGTTCCAAAAGCCATACTTTGAGTTGCTATTTGGTGCTCTTAAGGAGGGTGGCGTTATTACCACACAAGGTTGTATGTTTCCTTTCTCTGTGCTTACACTTCTAGTGCTGTGTGTAGTAGCGATGGGCAAACGACATACGCTTTTTACTTTTTCTTCTATATTTCAACTCCCCATCTCAATTTTTTCCAAGTCCATGAACGCTAATGTATCCCCTCTGTAGCCGAGAACCAATGGCTCCACCTCCCATTGATCACCAAGCTCAAGAAGGACTGCAAGGAAGTTTTCCCTAACGTCGAATACGCTTATACCACCATTCCTACCTACCCATCTGGCCAAATTGGATTCATGGTCTGCTGCAAGGATGCCAACCGTGATCTCAGCAAGCCACTCCGCAAATGGTCCCCAGAAGAGGAAGAGAAGTTGTGCCGTTACTACAACGCTGCTATCCACGAGGCCAGCTTTGTTCTGCCAACTTTTGCCCGTGCTGCCTTGAAGTGAGGTGTTGATCCGGCTTGACTCTCCGAGTTGAGGAAAGAGAACTTTAGGCATACATCACAAATATGTGTGGACATAGTTTGCTCGGAGCTAGCTAGTGATCTGCGGATCTCATACCTCTAGCTAGGAAATATCATACCCAAAATGAATAAATGACAACACAAGCAAGACCATATTTTCTCCCTTGA